AATTTCACTTACTTTCCTTGAGATTTGTCTTTGTCAAATACCCTAACAGTAACGAAAAATGTATTACATAAACAAGAAACTCAAGAAAAGATAAATGAGATATGAATTGTAGGGCGAGTCTAGTAAAATATTGATAATCCTTAGTTACTATTATTTTCTTTATTTTTAGTTGAATCCAACCTTTGAGAACATGAAATATCAGTCTTCTTGTGGAATTGGTCAAGTTCTTGATCGTTAAAATAAGGTTGTGAGACTTCAACACTATTGCTTTGAATAATTTTTAATGGAAGGCATCAACTGAACTCTCTCTTTGTAGCTCTTCTTCTCTTCTATCTTTCTCCTCTTTGTCCTTTAACACACACCATGAGCAATCTAAAATTGACCGCCGGCCATTTCTCTCCTTTTAGACCTCAATCTGATCCAAATGAAATATTATATATAAACTTTAACCAAATTATTATTTTACTGCAGTGAAAAATAAAATGAAAAATACATGAAATCATTGACGTGTCCAAATCTCAGGTAAGGGCTGAAATGGCAGCAAGTTGGAGCCTCTGGGAAGGAAAATTTTTTGCGTGACCAAGTGGAAGATATGAAATTAAATATTTAGAAACCTCATTTTTATTGATGAATATTTAAAACATGGCGTATATTGCAATTACTAGGTATACAAATTCTAAAATAATTCAAATTTGGCATTATTTCTAAAAATCATTTCCAAAAAATATAAAAATTAATATTCTATGTTATAAATTAAGTTAATATCAAAACATATATATATATATATATATATATATTCATGATAACTTAAGTTTGTTAAAAATTTTAGTTTTCAAAAGGTGAGAGCATCTCTAACCATTATGTATATATATTTTTTTTTTGTGTAAATATACTGTGTCATAATAAATTTACACAATTTTTTTTTTTCTAATTGGTACTCACACACACATGTCTCTTCTGAGACTCGAACCCCGAACCTACTTTTGGGAAGTAAGAGGCTGATACCGTTAGGCCTCTAATCCGTTGGTATTTATACAAAATTTTGGATTATTTATTTTTAGCTCTAACGGTTGTTTTATACCTTTTGTGTAAAAATATATTTCCCAATAACAACCAACTATGTGTCATGCCAAGACCCACATAACTTTTACATACTTATTTAATATATGATTGATTCTTTAATGGAATGAGAAAGAGGGAGGAGAAATGAAATATGCTGATATGATTGTGTAAAAATATTGTGAAAAATATACAATAATTTTACACATTAGTGATGTGGCATTGTATCTTAATAGACTGCTGGAGATTAAAAAAATGTACACATCATACGTAACAGTGTATATTTTACACAAAAATATATTTTAACAGACAACTGAAAATGCTCTAACAAGCTAGCAAAGACATATAGTTAACAAGTATTGATCGTTGTACCGTGTTGGTCAAAAATAGGTCCTCACGAGTTGACACATCAAAAATCGTATTAGCACTTTTGTTTGAACTATTGGTAGTCCAAATTAACCATATAAATTTTAATGATCTATTCTACATCACATTGGTGACGTGGCAGTATATCTTAACAAACTGCTGAAGATAAAAAAAAAAAAAAATTACACATCATATGTAACAGTGTATATTTTACACAAAAATAATATTTTAACATACTATTAGAAATGCTCTAACAAGCTAGCTTAGACATACAGCTAATGAGTATTGATTGTTGTACCATGTTGGTCAAAAATAGGTCATCACGGGTTGACACATCAAAAATCGTATTAGCACTACTGTTTGAACTACTGGTAGTCCAAATGAACCATATAAATTTTAATAATCTATTTTGCATCACTGTGGCCAAGGCAGAGCCAGAAATTTGAAACTTGTCATTGCAAAGTGGGTGTGTGAGTACTTTTCTTGTCAATGACCAACAATAAAAAAAAAATAAAAAAATTTGTGATTGCAGAGTTGGGAGCCAAACTAGTACTATGTAGTTAAAAATTATAAAAATTAAAAATAAATTGTAATATGATATTTCTTATAATATTATCCTTACTAGTATATATTGAGGAAAATTCAATCCAAAAAATGAGAAAAATGAACCTAGAAAAGTATATATAAACGTTGATATGAAAAAGAAAAAAAAAAAATTATAGAGAAGAGGAAGTGGTAAGTTACAGGTAAAAAGAAGTTATAAAGAAAAAAACATAATTCAAAAATTAAATTTTGTTCAATAATTGTTTCAACTTTTGAAAAACAAAATTTTTATTACTTTGATTCTACTTTCAGAAAGATATGTATTTTTACCGTGATGAAATATTAAGAGAAAAAATGTAGCATTTTAACTAGACAAAATTTAACAAATTGCAAATACTAGGAATAAAATAGAGACGTGTTTTTATAATTTATGTAATTTGTCATACAACAAATGACAACTAAATATATCATACATGGATTATATTATTGTTATTGGCATTCTTGTCATCTTGATGAAAATGACTAATAAGGAAGGCTCATGTATTTTTATTAAACATGAAGAGGCATTAATGTGATTTTTTCTTTTCTCTTGAATTCATATAATGAATATTATACTTGTGTATGTATAAACGTAAATAAAATAATGATATATTGGAATAAAATTTATAATAATGAAATTATATTTTTATTTGACAAGATTTAAGCTTTTAAAAGTAGGCTAAAAATGTCAAAATCAAAATTTTATATGAATATTGAGATGAAACAATTTATAATTATTTTTAAATTCATTATTATTAGGGCCAATTAAATATTTAAATGAATTTTGGGGCCACAAATGGAGGTATTTATATAAAATACGGAGTAATATTTTTGAAGGGGCATAAAGAAAAATTTTGAAAAAATTTGGGGGAGCCATGGCCCCACTAAAATTATAAAAATGGAGTTCTATGTAGTACAGAAACGGATACGGGACATGATACCACATAAATATGTTGACATGTCAAATTTTAAAAAAGTAAGACACGGGTATGACGTGAACACGGTTGCATATAAATATAAATTTTCATTTTTATACAGTTATTCAGTAACAGTATTATAAAACTTTAATTCACTTATAATTTCTATACTATTAAATGCATGAATTAATTAGAAAATGAAATTATGTCATTATTGTAATGAGTTTTATATCATACATACAATTATTTCACTACTTTGTTATTATAGTATTCATATTATTTTCAAGATTACTTGGTAGACTTGTGTTAGAAATATTTAGGAAGTATCAAGAAAGTTTCGGCGAAGTATCCAGGAAGCGTCGACGAAGTGTCCGAAATAATAAAATTAATTTTTATTTATGGACACATATATGAAGTGCCAGACACGTATTAGAAGAGTGTCCGAAGAGTGTCGATATCTGACACGAGTAAAACACAAGTACAACTCTATAGAAGTGTCTGTGCTTTATAGGGTCACCTACTATATAAACTTACCCCCACAAATTAAAATTTTGTCCTACCTCACAAATTTTTTTGGATGGCCGGTCACTGCCCACACCACTCAAGGCCGGCTCTACTCCCATGATTTAAGTGAGATTTAAGTCATGAAGTTGGGTAAAGAAAATTTGAATCCATACCCCGATGCACTAATATGATTCGTTCAGACCCTCTGAAGATCTTGCCTGTCTAGCTTTCCAATATATCTGTCCTTGTCACCATCTGAACCCAAATCAAAAACTCACTTTCCAGCCTAATCTTGTCTCTTTTTCAATTATCAACTAGCGCGTGCCAAGTTGGCGCCACGTTTACTTCGTTAACCTATATAAGAGCATCTCCAATGCTAAAATGCTAAATTCGAATGTCAAATCTATATTTTAACAGTGCTACAGTGTCAAAAAATGTTACATTTTAGCAATTTTGCTTCAATGATGCATTTTATGCAAAATGCTATTTTTTGATAAAATCACTATTCTTTTTCAACTACCACTCCCACCATTCATATTTGTATCAGTAATATTAATATTAGGCACATTCCAAGTCAAGTTGTAGACATTAGAAGGAAATTAAATTAAACTTAATTAAAAAGAATCAAAAATCTAAAATATTTGGTCAAAAAATGACCAAATATATATATATATATATATATATATATATATATATATATATATATTTAGGGCAAATCATTTCAACCTCCCAAATAGTCATATATATTTTTAGGGCAAATCATTTCAGCCTCCCCAATCGCCTCCATCTCTATTCTCGTTCTCAACTCTGAAATTGCCCCATCTCTCTCTCTATCTGCAACTGCAACCTACAAAATCAACAAGAATCAGAAGTTCAAAACCCATATTTTTCAATTTCCATCGCCCGCTATTCCAGTTCGGGTTCGCCATTCGCAAGCTTCAGCCGCTGTCTCTCAACTCTCAAGCTTGCCTCCTCTCTCTCTGCAACTGCTAACTTGTACGTATGGGTTTTGTTTTAATTTTTTTTCTAAATCAACTAATCAAGGTCTGTAATTCTTATTTTGCAAACTAAATCCTATTTAGTAAATTTTTTTATGCTCTTTTTTAAATATATGTATATATATATATATATATATACACACAATATATATATCTCTCTCTCTGAAAATCAAAACCCATATTCCCCCCCCCCCCCCTCCCCCCCCTCTCTGTCTCTGTGCTTTTTCTGAAATAACAGTAGTTATTTCTTATGCTACAAATGGCATAAATTTTGGTAAAGTTAAAATTTGGCAGCCCATGTAGCATTGCATTGGAGAACCCATTTTTACTATCTCCTGCTATATTTTAGAAATGGCAACACATATAGCAATGGATTGAAGATGCTCTAAGGATGCAAACATGCATATGAAATCCTCCGCATTCCATGGGGAAGTTTTTATGGCAAAATTTCTTCTCTTTCTTCAAGATCAACCCCATGGAAGTTTAGAAATCCACTACGAACCCAAAACCAGGCCAAGATCAATCAGAAAAGCCCTCATCTTCTTCTCATTTGACCCGAGACCAAGAATACTCCATGGGCTCTGCTCTAAATCACGTGATCAATGACTACGATGGGGATGATCCCACCTCTAATGGGATCATTGTAAAGTGGATATATGAGTTTCTTGTCAATGACAAAAATATAAAAATAATAATAATAATAACAAATTTGTCATTGCAGAGTTGGGAGCCAAACTAGTACTATGTAGTTAAAAATTATAAAAATTTAAAATAAATTGTAATATGATATTTTTTATAATATTATCCTTACTAGTATATATTGAGGAAAATTCAGTCCAAAAAATGAGAGAAATGAACCTAAATAAGTATTAAAAATTATAAAAATTTAAAATAAATTGTAATATGATATTTTTTTATAATATTATCCTTACTAGTATATATTGAGGAAAATTCAGTCCAAAAAATGAGAAAAATGAACCTAAATAAGTATTATAAACGTTGATATGAAAAAGAAAAAAAAAAATTTATTGAGAAGAGGAAGTGATAAGTTACAAGTAAAAAAATTTAATTAAAAAATTAAATTTTATTCAATAATTGTTTCAATTTTTTAAAAACAAAATTTTGATTACTTAGATTGTACTTTCAGATTGATATGTATTTTTACCATGATGAAGTATTAAGAGAAAAATTCTGATTGATATAACATTTTAACTACACAAAATTTAACAAAATGCAAATACTAGGAATAAAATAGAGACGTGTTTTAATAATTTATATAATTTGTCATTTAACAAAAGGTCGCATGCAGATTTCACTCCTCTGGTATCGATATAGTAATATAACTCTTTGTTGTTTGTTCACCTTCCTGTACATTAAAAATAGTGCGGATTAGTGTCTTTTGGCCTTTGACCTCTATTGACCGGTACCGAAGCTACAAAAAGACTAAAATAGCCCTCTATCTATGATTTAAAAATAATAATAAAATAACAAAAATAGAAAAAGACAAAAAAAAAAAAAAAAAAAAAAAAACCCCTTTGTCAGTACCACGTCGTTTCAAGTTAGGGATCTGCATGGAACCAACCATCAAATTCATAGTGGTTGAGTTGACCCACCATCTTAATGACAAAACTTGAGTGTACATTATGCCTGCCAATCCTGATGCAACTAAGAAGAATCACATAAAGATTAAGCGGAGAAGACTTTGATAGAGTCAAAAAAGAAGTCACTAAAGTGATGAATATGTCTTCTGGGCAATCATATCACATTATCCCTCATCTCAGCCATAATCTTCTCTTGTGCAGAAGGTGCATCCAGAGACAAAAATTCTGCAGGTGAGCCAAGTGCCTACGGTGCAGAATGCACCGCTGGGTGTGGTGGAGGCTGTGGTGGATGACTTTAATCCTTCCACTTCTCTTAACACAAAGCCAAGAACTAGAGTCTGACAATCCATTGCCAAAAATAAGAGGAAGCTCTTTTCTAATTCAGATCATTCACCTAAAGCAGGTTTCAAAATAAATTTTGCTGCTACTAGGAACCAGACTTGATTCCAGAGAACCACAGTTATGAAATGAGGGAGGGAGAGATAGATTAGGGTTATATATATAAATATATACAAATGTAAATATATGGTGAGGGATAGTAAAGGAATATAAGAAGGACAATTTTAAATAAAGAATTTAAAGTGGTCATATATCGCCCAATTAACGTCTAATGTCCACTGTAATTCTGATCGAAAGTGCTTAATTGCATATTTTCATATCTAGTATGAATTTATATAAACAAATTAAACTATAGGAGCGTAATTCACACAAATTTAAAACTATAGGAGTGTTTTTCAGACTTTTCTCTTCAACAAATTACAACTAAAATTTTTTGAGTGACTTGTTACTGCTTGCACCATCCAAGGGTCGGCTCTACTTCCATGATATGAGTGAGATTTAAGTCGTAAACTTACGTGAAAGGAGTTTAAATCCACACCCGATTCATTCAGAGCCCGAATATCTATCTTACCATTCAACCACACTTTATTGGGTTTGATTTCGAATATCCACCTTACCATTCAACTGGACTTTATAGGGCTTGATTTTTCAAACTTAATAAAGTGGAAAGGGTGGAGAGAAAAAGCAGAAATAGAACTTGGGAGAAGATTTCCAAAGATCAATCGTCTTGTCTTTGGAAGAGAGAGGATAAATACTGGACATGAATCATGATAGATTACTCCTGCGTAATAATAACAGGGTCAGATGTTAGTTGTACGAGGACATACGTAGTATTTGACAAAGTCAATTGTCAAACGAATAAGGCTTCACAATTTGTTGGAGAAATCATACAATAGCCAAAAACTCACTCGGATTGTGACGTCACGCCATACGCACCTCCAAAAACTTCCACCAGTGACGTCAGCAATCAACCCAGCTTCTTGCTTGTCTGACTTTCCAATCAACCCAAATCAAAAACTGTCTTTCAAGCCTATATTTGTCTCTATCACAAATCCCATGTGGCAAAAAAAATATATTACTGTACACTTGTCAACTAACGCGTGCCAGGCTGGCTGCCACCTGTACTTCGTCAACCTATATAAGGATGTAAACATGCATATGAAATCCTTCAGCATTCCATCCTCGGCTTTGGGAAGTTTTTATGGGAGAATTACAAATAATGAAATTATGTCATTGTAATGATTTTTCTATCATATATATATATATATATATATATATATAAAATTATTTCATTACTTTGTTATTATAATATTTATATTATTTTCAAGATTACTAAGTAGACTTGTGTTAGAAATGTTCAGGAAGCGTCTAGAAAGCGTCAGCGAAATATCCTGGAAGCGTTGGAGAAATGTTTGAAATAATAAAATTAATTTTTATTTATTAACACACATATGAAGTGCCTGACACGTATGAGAAGAGTGTCCAAAGAGTGTCGGTATCTGACATGAGTAAAATACGGGTACGGCTCCTTCGTAAAAGTGTTCACGCTTTATAGGCTCATCTACTATATAAATTTGTCCCCACAAATTAAAAGTTAATCCCACCTCACAAAATTTTTTTGAATGGCCTGTCACTGCCTGCACCACCCAAGGGCCGGCTCTACTCCCATGAATTGAGTGAGATTTAAGTCGTGAACTTGCGTGAGAAAATTTGAATCCATACCCAATGCACTAATACAATTCGTTCAGACCCTCGAAGATCCATCTAATCATTCAACTCCTTTGTAGGGCTTGATTTTTCTAACTTAACAAAGCGGAAAGGGTGGAGAGAAAAAGCAGAAATATAAGAGTTACAAAGATCAATCGTCTTGTCTTTCGAAGAGAGAAGATAATTACGCGACATATATGAATCGTGATAGATTACTACTGGGTAATAATAATAGGGTCAGATGTTAATAGTCAATCGAATAAGGCTTCACAGTTTTGTCGGAGAAATCAAACAATAGCCAAAAACTCACTCGGATTGTGACGTCAGCAATCAGCTAAGCTTCTTGCCTGTCTGGCTTTCCAATCTATCCTTGTCACCATCCGAACCCAAATCAAAAACTCACTTTCCAGCCTAATCTTTTCTCTATTACAAATCTCATGTGGCCAAAAATTATATTTTATTGTTCACTTTTCAACTAACTCTTGCCAGGCTGGCCGCCACCTGTACTCCCTCAACCTATCTATTACAAATACCATGTGGCCAAAAATTATATATTACTGTTCACTTTTCAACTAACGCGTGCCAGGTTGGCTGCCACCTGTACTCAACCTATATAAGGATATAAACATGCACATGAAATCGTCCGCATTCCATCCTCGGCTTTGGGAAGTTTTTATGGCCTAGTTTCTTCTCCTTTCTTCAAGATCAACCCCATGGAAGTTGAGAAATCCTCTACGAACCCGAAACCAGGCCAAGATCAATCAGAAAAGCCCTCCTCTTCTTCTCATTTGACCCGAGACCAAGAACACTCCATCATGGTCTTTGCTCTAATTTACGTGATCAACGGCTATGATGGCGATGATCCCACCACTAATGGGTCCCTGCTACTACAAGACATCCAGGCTTACACTAGTGTCGCCAACGTTTTCCCTCCAAATAATGAAGAAAAAATGGAACAGAGGGAGCCCAAGAGGAAGTACAGGGGAGTCCGACAGAGGCAGTCGGGGAGGTGGGTTGCGGAGATCCGAGACCCGCAGAGAAAGACCCGGGCGTGGCTCGGCACGTTCGAGACAGCGGAGGCGGCCGCTAGGGCTTATGACAAGGCTGCCATTAAGTTCCGCGGCGCCAAAGCCAAGCTTAACTTCCCATTGTCAGATTATAAAGTGGGACCAAACCGGTCCAAACCACACCAAGAAAATCAAGATATTATGCCCAATGCAATTGAGAATGCGAAAAATAAGGAAACAGAGTTGTCACAGTGCTCACAGTACGGAAACATTGAAGAGTTTAGTCCCAACTCGTCGTCGGAGAACAAGAGTGAGACAGAGACAAGTTACGACGGAGTTTTTGAAGGTCTCCTTCCACTAGTTAATATATAACAGTGTGGGTAGGGTAGGGTAGGGTGTACGGTGCGCGGACTTATTCAATGCATAATTTGCGTTTGTACACGTACATATATGCACGGTGCAAAGGCACCCAATACCTTTTCAAATATTAGGAATTTGCATGAATGATTGAGTTTTCGGTTCTCTAAATACCAGAGCCAAATGTAAGCTACCTGTATAATGGGATAAATTCCCACTCTTTATACTAGGAAATAATGATTTAAAATTTTCATGTTCGTGTGTATGAACTTCACTAGATTCTGCCTTTAATTTATTTTTTTAACTACATTTAGAGAATTATTTTGGAGGAGTTAATGTGACTCTCAACCCAACCTTATGAGTATTTGGACTATAACAATTTTGATGAACAATCATTCACTTTTGATAATTATACGATTTCAGAAGATGATCCAGAATTGGGTCAATCACGTTTATTAGAAGTGGACAATAGAGTGGTTGTTGATAATTGTCAACATTTATGGGACAGATTAAGTTGTTTGAACCGTTTTTGTGGAACCGACCAGCATAAGCGCGCTGCCACTCATAATTCTATCCAAAAGGTTAGACCTAGATGGTCCCTTAAGATTTCTCATCACATATTGAAACACCGCATATTTTATGTGGGTCGAATCCAATAATAGAGCACTAGACACATCGGCCTTGTGGTGGGCGTAGTCGGGTTATCAGTGAAAAGAAAAAGTTTTTCCTTCCGTTTTCATTTAAATGTTATTTTCAGAAAGTATTAATTTTTAAGAGAATATGTGAGATTCAAAAGAGATATATGAAAGAATGTGAAATATATATATTTTTTAAAAAGAATAATAAATAATTATTTTAGAACAAACAACAAAAAAAACATGACATTTATTTTGAGGCAGAAAAAGTATAAAACCTATACAATTTGGGTTAAATACTCTAACACCTACTGAGTTTCAGTTTATTGCTCTGCCAATTTTTCTCTCACACCCCGTTTCAAAGTATAAAAAATATAACTTTACTATTATACCCTTAACTTTATTTAACCAAGAAAAATATATTTATGATATGTGTAAACAAAATATGAAATTACAATATCACCACTTCCATCACCCCCACCTTCACCCACAATCACCACCACCATTACCCATACCATCACCCACAAGCAAGCAGACCATCTCCCCCGCATACTGGGAAAGTTGGGTTCAACAAATTTTTAGTTTTTTATTTATTTTGAGACTACATGGGATGAGATCTCTTACCCAATAAGTCGGGTTAGGGTTCATTAAATCTTACATTGCATGTTTGGAAAAAACAATTTCATATTGATGTATTAAGCGTATAGGTGTCTGTCGTTCTTTTACGGAATTCCTGTAAGGAGATGTGAGGCGCACCAATTTCCAATCCATCCCCATCCCCACCCCCTCGACTTCTCTCTCTATACACACATACTTTCTCTCTCTAGGATACAACCCATCTGGGTTGAAATCACTTGAACCAAAATCCATACGCTCTTGAGAAATCAGTAACAAATGAACACCATATATATATATACACACATACATACATATCATATATAGACACACTGAGCTCAGTCTAGATTAGAAAACCCAACCAATTTGACGCCACATGCCTTTCCTTCGGCTCCAATGGAATTTATCAACCAATTTGTTGTGATGGTGAATTTCAACAGATTCAAGAAATAGGTGAAATTTTATGAATTCTTTTTGTTTTTTCTCTCCTTCCATTGTGGGTTTAGCCTAATGTACAATTTATATATTTTAGTTGCAGAAGTTCAATTGATGTGTGTCTATATATATATATATAGGTGTTACCCCTCTAGGTTTTTGCATTTTCTTATTCATCTTTTTCTGATCTGAGTTGCG